AATCTGCCTCGGGATCCGCTTCCTCCCCGGAGCGAGATCCGGGCTCCCTCTTCGTCTGGAGTGCCCAGTCCAAACCCCGCGGACTCCAGGCACCGAGGGGGCAGACTCTGCACCACCCCGGGCAGAATCAGGTCCTTCTGTCCCCAAGCTCCTGCCTGCCCTCTTCCACGCAGGGGCAACTTGAACTGAGCGGAGGGATGAAGAGAACCAGAGCGTGAGCACCAGGCAAGGAAGCGAGGCAAGGGGGCTTCGCCCCTCCACACCGCGGCGTTTCAACGAGCCCCGTGCAGCCTCCAGAGAAACCTCGGGCTTCAAGCAGTCTTTTTTTTTTTTTTTCCTCCTGAAGCAAGTGACACGAGTCGGGGAGCTCCCCGGTGTGCACGGGAAGAGGTCCCGAAGGGCAACGGGGGCTGTACAGCTCCAGACTGGAAGAGTGCCTGTCAGCACTGATTAAATCCAGGTTTAACCGCTTGTCCTCTGGCTCATATCACTTATTCCCAAAAGAGAGAAGGATCCATTTAAAAACTGGATCATTCCCTCTCTCCCGGGAGAAGGCAGAAGTGCTACCGCTGGTGCTGGAAGAGTTAATGCCAAAAGGCATTAATTCATGGTTTCCATGGTGCGCAGAGCTCTGGCACTCACCGCTGCCCTGCCAACAGAGCAGATCCCAGCTCGGGGCAGGCGGAGCACAGCTGGTTACCTTTGAACACAACACACGAGCTCCCTGCAAGGGAGATCTCAGCCCTCCGCTGACAGCGAGCCTGCCGCTCTCCTCTCCCACCTGAGCTCAGCAAGCTGCAAGCAGCAATTCCTGCAGCGGTGGAATAAGGAGCCGCGGCAGCAGTGCTCCGGTGCGACGTTCTGGTGAACTTACCTGCAGGACTCAAACTTCTACAGAGGGGAAAACCCCACCGCCAGCCCCGCTCTTAAAGGGCGGACAAAAGTTGATCCCAGATCACCTAAAAGCATCTCGCTGCCTTTGGTGTTCAGGGCAAGAAGCAGGACAACCGCCCTCGGCCCCCAGCACCTACAAGCTTCTAATAAACGATTCATCACGAGCACCTCTGATCTCCGCACCGAGCGAGCTGCTGCAAAGGACGAGGCCAGCAAGGCCCCACCATCCATTAACACATCCCTCTCTGTGCTCACAGCAACCCAGGTCTCAGACACGTAGATTAAACAGCAATTGCTGCACGTGTGCGCTGTGAAATGAGACTTCAGGAATAACGTCGGGCTCATCCCGAGCAGCTGGCTAGGGAGAAGGATGAAGAACCAGCCTGGCTCTCCAGGAGACCCTGGCACAGATTCAGACCGGGGGAAAGGGACCAACGCACGGGAGATGCTCCACGTGCTCAGCTGTGGTTTCCGGCTATCCCCTTGTCAGATCACAGCTCGCTGCCCCGGTTTGGCCAGGCTCACGGCACAGTAACAGCCACGGAGAAGGTAAGGCAACAGCCTTCTTCAAAGGGGCAGCTCCCCGACGTGCAGGGAAATGGCTTGCTTGGTGCACCCACTCTGTATTTTAAAAACCCACATCACTATGAAATCTCTGCCCCCGAGGCCGAGTTTCATGCTGCATGGGCAGAGTGCTCCTTTCTCCGCAGATTAAAGCATCCCCGGGAGGAAACTGCTCTGGATTCGCAGATGAAGCCCGGAGTAGACTCATCACAAATGCAGAGAGACAGACACGAGCCTCCGTAATCGCATCCTCGGTGTTTTCATTCTCGGAGAATAGAAGGGTGTGTGCCCACATGTGTGTATAGAACCAGACCCTTCTGGTCACTCTCCTGTATCTTGCTGCAGCATGACGGATGGCAGGATGAAAAGCAGAGCCCCGAGGCTTTCAGGCGATGGTAGATTAATGATGACATGGCCTTGACCTCCAAAAGGTAAAGGTTATGAAACACTCAAGGGTAACTGGGCTTCCAATTTCATACCCGGAGGGTGAATGACAGCAACTGATGGTTTTATTCTCAGAAACACTCCAATCCTAGGACGCACAGCTGTCACCCACCACCTTTTTGAAATTCATCTCAACGT